CCAGGCAGCAGAGACCGGGAAGAAGACAGGACAATCCTTCCATTTAATAAAATTTCATGAGACTTATACATGATTAGGAATCCCATATCTAAGTTTTAATAATGTTTATTGATCAGAACTTGGTCATTTTCAGCTACAAGGGGGGCAATTATTTGCTCCCAGTTAGATCTTACTATGTATCCCAGACTGGCCTTCAACTCTTGATCCTCCTATTTCAGCCTCTCAAGTGTTAGGATTAAGATAAGAGGACATCTCTTTTAAAACTATTCTTTTTTTAAAAAAAGGCTTATTTTGTTTATGTGTATGTATATGTGTGTCTGAAAGAGTATACACCATATGTGTGGATGCCCACAGAAGATAGAAGAAGGTATCAGAATTCCTTGGACTGAAGTTACAGGCCAAATGTTAGTTAGCCCACTGATATGGGTGCTGGGAACCCAGCCCATATCCTCTGGATAGTGGAAAGTGATCTCAACTGCTCAGTCATCTCCCCAGGTTCCCTAGTGGTGGTCAAAAGCAGTTCTGAAAACCTACATCAAGGGAGAAGGAATAAAACATTGGTTCTCCACCTGTGGGTCGTGACCACTTGGGGTCAAATGAGCCTTTCACAGGGGTCACATATCAGACATCCTGCACATCAGATATTTACATTATAATTCATAACAGAAAAATTACAGTTATGAGGTAGCAATGAAAATAATTTTAAGGTTGGGGTCACCACAACAAGAGGAACTTTATTAAATAGTTGCAGCATTTGGAAGGTTGAGAAACACTGGGCTCAAGGAAGGTAACAGGGGCCTTCTTGCTTTCTCAAATGAAACGCTGAAGGTATATATTTTGAGGTAGTATATTTTGAATGCCATCACTTTTCTTCTTTGCTCCTTTCCTCCCTCCTACCCTTCCTTCCTTTTCTTCAGTGTGTGTGTGTGTGTGTGTGTGTGTGTGTGTGTGTGTGTGTGAGTGTGTGTGTGTATGTCTGTGTTTGTGTATGTCTGTATGTGTGCCTGTGTGTGAGTGTGTGTCTATATCTGTATGTGAGTGTGTATGTGTTTGAGTGTGTATGTCTGTGTGTGAGTGTGTATGTCTGTGTCTGTGTGTCTGTGTGTCTGTGTGTCTGTGTGTCTATGTGTGTTAGGTACTGAGTATTAAACCTAGAACATCATAATGCTACTTAAATGCTTTATCACTGAGGTATGTTCTCAGGCCTTTTGTTTTTATCTTGAGACAGAGGCTCATTAAGTTGTCCAGACTTGCCTCGAAATTATTCTGTAGCCTAGGAAGGCCTGAAGTGGCAATCTTTTTGTCCCAGATTCCCAAATAGTGAGATTACAGGTCTGTGCCACTAGGCCCCACTTGGATTTTTGTTTCATTTTTCAAATATTTGCTATATAGCCCAGGCTGGCCTTGAACTCCTTATTTCTTGCCTCAGCTTCTGGTGCTGGGATTGCTACCATGCCTGTCTTAGATCAGGATAATTGTCTATATTATGTTATTATTTCTTCTATTTTATTCATTCTATTTCTCATTTGAAATTCACTGTGTTTTAAAATTATACTCAGTGGTATTTGGTCTATTTATTTTCCAGATTGCTAAGTGGTGGCGATTTTAAATTTTTTTTGAGGGTGTCAGATCCTTTGGAATTGGAGTTACAGACAGTTGTAAGCTGCCATGTGTGTGCTAGGAATTGAACCTAGGTCCTCTGGAAGAATAGCCAGTGCTCTTAACTGCTGGCCATCTCTCTGACCCCTCCAGGTCCAATTTTAAAGCTTAGTATATCCTCAGGTTCTGTTCAGAAAGAGAAGTAAAGTGTTCTTTCTTCCATTCCTTTCCTTTTCTTTTCTTCTTTCTCTCTCTTTATCAATCTTTCTTTCTGCTTGTATGAATCATTTATTTTTCATCAGACTTAGTAACATATTGCAAAATACTTTTTAATTCAAAATACTTCTTCCTCTAAACTGTTTTCCCTAATATTTGATGCTGAAAGATTTTAAACCTATACAACAGTTAAAAGAACATTCTGTTCAACATCAATAACAATATATGCTCCATCTCAAAGAACTTCAACTTTATCTCCTGAGAATAAGGACATCCTTCCCTGTCCTAATTGTACTACCATTATCACAGTTAGAAAACCTAATAAATAAAAAATGTCTGCTAATATGCAGCTCCTGTTTAAATTTTCTCAAGTCTCACAATATCAATAGTTTTTTTTTAATTCCAGCCCAGAATCCAATCTTATCCTTTTCCTATCTATCTGTCTGCCTATCTATTTGTCTATCTATCTACTATTGCTTTAATGGAGAGCTATACTCCAGTTCTTGTTTTTGGAAACAGAGTATTATTATATATTCTAGACTGGTCTGGGACTTACTATAGAGCCCAGGCTGGCCTTGAACTCAAGATCCTCATATCTTAACCTCCCTGATCCTGGGATTACTGCAGTGTACTATTATATCAAGCTAGGCTAGTTGTTATATAACATGTTGATATTTTTGTCTGTTGTTCTCTGATGACAGAACTGATGCTAACTTTTTAAAGAATAATATGTAAGCAAGAGAATGTACTTACTGCATCATGCTAAAGGACATACTACATTAGATTAATGATTAATAGTGGTTAAGAGTTCAACCATTTCCACTAGATAGGGACTGGACTTCCAGACCTTTTAGCTATAAAACAATGTTTGTCCCCTTCATAGTTAATAAAATAAAAATAAGAATAGTTTGATTAGTCAGAACTCAGAAAGGCAGGTCAACCTAATGGATCTGGAATCCTGTATTGGCGTTGGCTCAGAAGGACTGCATTAGCAGGCAGGAATTTGGGCAAGGAAAAGTATCTTATCTTAAGGTAAATGTACTTTTCTGGGGGTGGTCTTCCAGCCAGGTCCCTGGCTTGTCCCACTGGAGTGACCCTTAGGGGAGGACACATGGGAATGGAGAAGAGAAAGTATCTCCACCTAAAGGGAGATTTATTACTTACACTAGCACTTGGGAGGATCACCTCAAGTGTGAAGTCAACCTAAGCTACAGAGTAAGTTCTACTCCAGCAAGGGGGCTACACAATGACACCATGTGTTCATAAACAAAAAATAAAATACAAACCCAGCCATTTCTTTGTATATTGACTATTTGACACTTTTTATAAAGAACTTCCCATTTTCATTCAGTGTGTGTGTGTGTGTGTGTGTGTTTGCTGATGACTGCGTGGCATGACACATTTATGGAGATCAGAGAACAACTTTCAGGGGCAGTTTCTCTCCTTTCACCTTGGTCTCCAGGGACTAAATTCAGGCTTTTAGGTTTATGTGTCCAGAACCTTTCCTGCTAAGCCATCTCACTGGCTCAGGCATTCCCATTTTTTAAACCCTTTCTCTGTATTTGTAACAGGGATACAGAGCAGAAACACAAGGTGTAGCACAATGGGCTTTGGGATTGTCTTTTTTCTTACTAAGACTCATCATCATTTTTGTTTTTGTTTGTTTGTTTTTCGAGACAGGGTTTCTCTGTGTAGCTTTGCAGCCTGTCTTGGAATTCGCTCTGTAGACGAGGCTGGTCTCAAACTCACTGAGATCTGCTTGCTTCTGCCTCCTGAGTGCTGGGATTAAAGTCATGCACCACCAACACCTGGCCATTTTTGTTTTTGTTATGAGATAGGTCTCACACTATAGCACATCCTAGACTGGAACTCATTATATAGTTTAGGTTAATCTCAAACACACTCCTCCTGCTTCAGTCTCCAGAGAGCTAGGATTATAGGTATATGGCACCATAGCAAGCCTCACAGTTGTTTTTTAAAAATTATGTTTGGTTAATTATTTTGTGTGTGGTGGGGCACACCTGTACCACAGTACATATGTGAAGATTAGGGGACAGTTTGTAGGAATTCATTCTTTCCTCTACCATTTGTGTCCAGGGGCTTGAACTCAGGTTGCCAAGTTTGGCACCAAGATCTTTTATCCATGGAGAACTATCTCTCTGACCCCATTACAATTCTTTTTAATAGTCAAATTTTTCGTTTTATTTGGTGACACTAATTACAGCAAAAGTGACTTCTGATTGCTAAGTAGTATCTGGACTGAGACCCTCTAAAAAGCTATAAATTTCTGATGCAACCATAACTTCTGCTTTCTTTTAGTGTCATGGCTACTAATCTGGTTTCTCATGTGAGAGGCCCTGGAAACTAAGGCTATGGGATTATTATTATAAAACATATTTTGCTTCTATGAGATATAAGGCTGCAAACCAAGGCTAGGTCCCCCACTTGTGTGGTCTGAATCCTGTTCCCTTAGACCTAAACTATCACTTGAAAGACTAGAGGTAACAGCTGCAATCCAGCTGTTTGCAGAGTTCTGTGATTTGCTAATCAGAATTCTTGTGGAAAGGAAGCATTAAATGCAGGTGGTAGTTTTAGCTGTTTACCCCTGTCAGCTGACTTACAACCAATATGGGTATATTTATGAATTGGACTGTTTCACAAAATCCATGAAGATGTCTTCACAAGTGAACTCATTCCTTAGCCATTCCCCCACCCCCACTCCCTACCGCCTGGAACTCATATGGTAGCAATCTTTCCGCTTTGACATCCAGAATGCGTTTATCACAAGTATGGGCCACTATGCTCTACACTGCCGCACACATTTTCTTTTCTTTTTTTTTTTTCTTTGCACCTTAGGCATCCTTTAGCTTTCGTTTTTAAATTTCGCTACCACTTAATTTGTGGTAGCTGAGTTATTTTTCTCTCATACTTCTATGGACTCTGGTAAAGTACGTTCGCTCCAAAACACTTCCTGGAAAACTACCAGCCTCTCCACAGGACAGGCAGCTGGGTTCCCTGAAAGCGGCAGGTTAATAATCCCCACCACCACGCGCGCGGCCTGGCTCACGGACGCCGTTCCCCCCCCCGTTCGCGGTGGTATCGTCCGGCCCCTGAGGGACCAGTATAAGTAACGCCCATTGGCGCTAAAGGCGGAGCCGCTTCGCGTCACGCCGACGCCTCATCTCCCCGCCTCCAAGTGGGCCGGGCGCTTGTGTTGGTCCTCCGACTGGTAACCGCTGGGCCCTGAAAGCCTAGCGCTGTTGAGGGGTGGGTTCAGGGTAGTCACTCGCGGCGTCCCGCCGCTGCGAGAGTTATGTCCGAAAATAATCCCCCGTTGCCCGTAGGCCGCGGCACGAGTGGCCGCGGCAGCAGGGGGCGTGAGGTGGAATGGCCCCCGGAAACCCGCCCCGCCCCTGCCGAGACCTCTGTGGGGATATCCCACCTAGGCAGCACCTCCAGCAGCTCTAGCGAGTCCTCCCATTCTCAGTGGCAGACCGCCTCCCAACCCTTATCTCAGATGAGCGAGTCCATTGAGGAGATGGTTGATTCCTTAAGTGCCACCAACCTCCCTCAGCTCAAAAATGATTCTGACGAGAAGAATGACCCCAACTCAAAGTCTTATTCCTGGGACTTAAGCGTCCGCCGCCAGAGGGCTCAGGTCCCCATACCTGTCCCGGATTCCTCCATCCTTAGCTCGGTCTCCCAGCACTTATCTACACTAAGATCCATTCCTCTCCCGGGTTCATCCCGATATTTTGGGCAAAGGTCCTTGGTGACTTCTGGGCAAATGCCTTCCGTGGCTTCTATACTTAGCACTTCTGTACAGTCAGAACTAGGGTCTATCCCTGCCTCAGTGATCAGCACTCCCCGAGGGTCGATAGAGGATCCCATCCCACCTTCATTGTCTGTCTACCCCTGGGGATTGCCACTAGAACATCCATTACAAAGTAACTTGTCCCTGCCTTCGTTACCACTACCTAACGCTCCAGAAAATACCCCACTGGCAGAAGACTTCCCCAGGCACTCTCTGTCCCTCTCTGCTTGGTTATCCACATCATTACCTGCACACATTTTCCCTTCCCGACTGCCAGTACAAAGACCTCTGGTGTTTGATAGCTCAGTACCTGGGTCACCAACTTCCTCACAGTATAACCCTCAAGGACCTGCTTGCCACGCCCCTCTAGTTCCTATACTAGGGCCATCCCTGCCTTGTGAGCAGGGCTCTCCCTGGGTATCTCAGCAAGGATCAGCTCCGCCCCTGAGCGCTCCCCTTGTCACTGCACAAGGGCCCGCTCCGCCCTCAGGGCCGGGCTCCCCCCCGGTATGGGTAGAAAGATCGACTCCGCCCCTGGACACCATGCAAGGGGCGGTACAAGGGTCTGTTTCACCCTGGGCGGTCCCCCCTTTTAAACCAAAGTCTCCGGAGAATCTCACCCAAACCATGATGAATCTGGAGAAGCCTAATATCTCAGGCCACATGTTCGACGTAGTCGTGATTGGAGGCGGCATCTCAGGTCAGTTTGGATCTTTAACAGTAGGTTAAGGGGCCCTGGATGACCAGGGTGGGGGACTTCCAATATTCTTGTTGTGTTTGGCTGGGTCTTTCTCCTGCGTGTGAGAATGTTACTATGGCAGGACCCTAGATCCTGCCAGATGGCAGCGGGGCTTGGTCCCTTTGCATGGTGGTATGCACTGGTGGAGGGAGACAAAATAATTTGACTCCTACTACTAAATACTAATGATTAATTAGCTCTTGTTATGCAGTTACTTTAACACATTGAGTTTCCTCTGTCCTCTGAACAGTCTTGTGGGTGGGCAGCATATCTGCTATTTTACAAAACCAAGAATCTGTGGTTTGAGAGTTTCAGTAACTCTCCTGAGGTCTAATCGCCTCCCTGGGAAGCTGCAGAGCTATTTTCTTCCATTTAAGACCTTCACTTGCAATTCCTGAGGTGGTTGCTTGGCCTCACAGATTTCACATCCCTTCCTCTGAACAGAGTATCTGAGAATGGGTGGATGTCTGTACTGTTGAACTAGTAGAAGTTCTGCTCTCCTCCAAAGCAACATTCCTTAGAAAATTTGAGTATGTAAAAAATAAGGAGGCAGAATCCTTTAGGAAAAGGTAATGTTTTAAAAGGAGCTGCAAGATTCAGCATACTCCTGATGTTTTCTTCCGAACTTCAATAAAAATATAGGGCAATAAATAAAAATTTATTGCCCAAAGGGAATCTCTTCATAAAGCAGGAGCTGAGGGAAAGTCAGGGAGTACCTGTTGTGTTGTCTGTTAACAGCTACACTGCCTGCAGCTTGTCCTGAGGTCCTGGCTTCAATGTTTCATCAAGTAAGGGGTACATGAACTTTTTCTCTATTTTCCTGGTGACCTCTTCAATATTTGTGTATTAAATTGCCACTTATATTCTCATATTGGAAAATTTTAGGGATTATGATTTGGCCCTAGGTAGACGCCCAAGCTGAAGTGTCCCCCTTCCCTCAGCTGTTAATAATTTCAAGACACATCTGCAAGACCTACCTTAGAAAGAGGAAGAAAGACAGAAAAGGGAATAAATAGGGTGGGTCCAAATTATCCATTTTAATGTATGCCCCCTCTGAATAGACCATAGATGTGCTTATATATTAATTTTAGATATAGGTAGCTTTGGACTCATCCTGTTCAGGGAAAACAATCTTAATCACCAGATTGGTATGAACTGTTGCTTTGGTAGTCCTAGCCAGTGGAAGCAATAGTATGCATTTGTACTGAAGTATCAGAGGCAGATAAGCAGATTTTGGTGAAGAATTAGAAAGAGGAGCATTTCTCATTCTTTCCTTCCTTTGTTCCTTCCTTCAGCAAACACTTGTTGAGTGCCTACAGGTTAGTGGATTGGTGTTTCCAAAAACCTGGTCCTTCTAGGCAAGTACCACAGACGCAATGTGATTGTTGATCACTGGAATATAAATATGATAATATGTAATATAAATTGATTAACACCATATCACAATTCACTTTTTTGCTGGGACCTTATTGTTGTCCCTTTCTTGGTTTGTCTCCAGTATTCCTTAAAGAAAGCATTGTCTTTTTAAAGTTTTTTGATGTTTGCTTGTGAGTCTAGGCATTAGCAGCTGAACCATCTCTCCAGCCTGACTTTTTAAAATTTTATGAGACTATGTCTCATGTATCTCAGGATGGCATCCAACAGAATATGTAGTCAAAGATGAACTTGGACTTCTGATTTTCTAGCATCCAACTGCCAAGTGCTCAGATTGCAGATGTGGGATAACATGCCTGCTTTATGTAATGCTGGGGGTCAACCCCAGGGCTTTATTCGTGGTAGGCAAGCACTCTATCAAGTGAGCTGCATCCCCAGTCCTGTCTCTTGTTTTTCTTTTGTCTAATTGTTTGGTCTTTCTCCTTTTTCACACTTTATTGCTAATATTTAGTCATCAACAGAAGTATATTTAGCATGTAGCTGGTGCATCTTAAAAACCTGAGGTCCCTTCTGGTTTCATTCTAAATAAATTACCATGCTGAGTCATGTTACAATTTTGCTTTCTTCTTTTGTTTTGTGGTGGTGCTGGACTGAGACAGGGTCTCATGTAGCATCGGCTATACTTGAAATCCCTGTGTATTTAGAATGGCTTTGAGCTTCTAATCCTCCTACTTCCCCTACCAAATGCTGGGGTTACACTTGTATGATACCATACCTGGTGTATTGGTTTCTTACTTTTTTAGAGAGAGCACCCAAATTATATGAATCCCCACAAAATATTGGTACCTATTCTTGAGAATTACTAATTAGTTCATTTCCTTGCAGCAGGGAGAAGGCATAGAGAACATTTTTTGCTCAATATACTTACTTATTCCAGACACCAACTTTAAGTTTGCCAGAAACACTGGAAAAAGGACTTGGTTTCCCTTAGTGTTATTTCTACCAGTCAGATCTGAGAGATTTTAGGAGCCAAACTGACTAGAAACATTCCTTTCTGTGTATTGCCATCCAAAATGATTTATAACTAGCATAGATGTGGATGCCTATCTGACTCAGGTATTAGATACAGGCTGTATGTTTCATGAATGAGTGAGAGTATTCCTATGAACTCCACAACACGTCTCTTTATCTAGGGATGGCCATATCCCATGGTATGAATCCCATGATATAGTATCGTTTTGTTTCTTTGTTTTGACATAAGTTGGTATAGTCCAGGCTGGCCTCACATTTCACATTTGTCTGTAGTTGAGGCTTCCATGAACTCCTGGTCCTCCTGTTTCTATCTCTCAAGCACTAGGATTAAAGATAAAGATTCCAGCTCCTGAATCAAATTTATGTATTTATTGAAGCTGAGCTGGAAGATCATTTTACAGTAATATTATTAACATAGATTTTAAGCACAAGGGTTAAGGGACTGTGGCAACCTGGGAGGAAGTTACAATACACTCCAAAGCATGGATCTGCATTTCTCCAAAAAGAGAAGCTCTTGTGTAAATTTTAAATACTTTGGAATATTCCTTAAAACTTTTGTCTTAGGATTTACATACTCTTATCATGCTACCTATTCAATTATACTCCATGGCCAATAATTAGCATTTGCCATGTAGCTCTCAGAAGAGTGCATATTCTAAATGGTATCACTGAGAATTGATTTGCATTTAGAAAGCTTTGTATTTGTACAAAGAATAATATTTCCATTTTGTCATCAAAAATAAAACACAGAACATTTCCAACAACCATAATGCTCTATTTTCTGTCCACCCATCTAATTAATTTTTTATCCTATGTGAGGGGAAACCGCCCTCCTTATAATCCATAATCAAGAACCCATCCCTTTTAAAACCCTTTACATGTTTTCTGTGATACTATTGAATCCTGAAGTTTTATCATCTATTGATCATACTTTTGCCATTTTCCTTTGAAATCAGCTTGAGTCTCTGCTGTATTTCTTTCTCATTCTATTAATCCAGTGTTCCCTTATCTATAGAAGGCTCTTTAAGTTGAATCTTTTTCTTTCTCTAAACTCATATGCTGTAGTTTATCTATTCATGGATTTTTTGCTCTTACAGACTGCAGATTCCTCAGTGCCTTGACTCTTTTCTTGGATACCATCTTTTCCATTATTTTGATACATCGTTTTCTTTATTTTGTTTTATTTATTTATTTCTGAGTCAGGGTCTTACATAGTCCAGGCTGAATCTGAAGTCACCTTGTAGCCAAGGATGATCTTGACCTTTGGATCCTCTTGCATCTACTTCCTGAGTGCTAGGATTACAGGTTTGTGCCACCACACACAATTGTGTTTTCATGTATTGCAAGTGATGGAAACCAGGGCTTCATGCATGTTAGGTGAGCATTACCAAATGAGCTACATCTCTAAATCATGTCATTTTCTTTTATCTTCTATACATCCTTACTATTTTTGATGTGCTAGAGAATAAACACCAGACTTTGTATATGTTAAGTATATACTTCTGCAATCAAATTACATTCTCAGGCCTTCTGTATTCCCTTTTCAGATCCTTTGAGCTGGATTGACTCCTCTTCTGCTTCCTCAGTTTCCATGTTCATGCCCCCATCTCCAGGACAGACACTTGACTCCTGAAGCTTTTTCCTGATTATAATACCTTCCCAGTGGTCATGCTTTACAATAATAACTCTTTTCACATCCATACTGCATGCAGTATTCTTCCAGGCTTGATTGATTTACTTTAGCCACTTCTTTCTCACCTTTCTACTCAAGTGGTCTCATATTACCAGCATCTCAAGACCTAATCCACATGATCAATTATCTGCCTTCACTTTGTTGGACAACTAGTATTACCCACTTTTCCTCATATGGACATGAGGTGCCTTTCGTCATAGTGCTAGTCTGTTTATTTTGTCTCTTTATGTCTTCCGTGTTTTCATCCTAACATAGAAATGCTTCTAACAGTTCATCCTATCTGTCCGGCAATACCTGGGTGCCCTGGCTCTCATCTATTTTTCTCCCTTCTTAAAGAGATTTGAATCTATGTTTAACAAGGTACATTTATTTTCTGATTCTTATTTCTCAATTTTATTTTTAAGGACAAGGTATCATTCTCTGATTTTAGATGCTACTTCTTAGTCATAACTGTCACAGTTGGAACAAATGACAAAAACTTCTATTTGTCTTTATCCAAGAATTTCTGAAATGGTTGTTTTTAGAGTGAAGAAACAAAAAAAAGCTATCTTCTTAGGACAATATATGTATTCTTCATAGCGCTTTTGGAATCTCAGAGCTTTGGGTCAGACGGGGTTTAAAAGACAATCTAGCTCAATCACCTACAATTGTAATCCTCCAGGCAGCATCTCCTTAGTGATTATCTAACTATAGCTCTGAATACAGTTAGGGAGGGGGGAGCACTCTAGTCCTCTAAGCAACTTAAGAGCTCTGGCTCCTGAACTTATTCAGACATTTTAGAGCTTCTATCATGTGCTTAGCAGTAGCTAGATCATAAGGATAGAGGGATATAAAGATAACTAACATCCCCTGCCAGAAATGT